TAATGCTCTGAGTGCGGGTGTGTGGTCACTGTCTGGCCAGTCAGCCGGCACATGTGAAAGTGCGTCAACCACTTTATTGGAAGCCCTAGGTTTGTACTCGATGCGAAATTGGAACCCCAAGAGTTTGCGCACATACGACTACTGTTCTGGAGTTTGTATTACTTACTGAAGTAATTCCTTGATCTTATGATCAGTTCGGATGACAAAAAAATGACCTAACAAGTATTGTCTCCATTTAAGAACAGATTCTGTAATGACATGTAGTTCCTTGATGTATACAGATGCAGCTTGTAACTTCGGGCCCAATTTCTTACTAAAGAAGGCAAGGGGGTGGCCCTCTTGCATTAAAACAGCTCCAATACCGATGTTGGATGCGTCAGTCTCTATTACAAATTCTTTAGAAAAGTCAGGTAAACTAAGGACCGGCGCAGAAAGCATAGCTTGCTTGAGGGCAAGGAAGGCCCGTTGAGCATTTTCATTCCAAGAGAATGCATTATGCTTCAGGAGATCAGTTAAAGGAGAATCTATACTTGCATAATGGGCAATGAATTTTCTATAGTATCCGGTAAGGCCTAAGAACCCCCTAAGTTGTTTGACCGTTACTGGTATGGGCCATTTTTCCATGGCTTCAAGCTTGGCCGGATCCGCCTGTACACCCTGAGAAGAAACTATATGGCCTAAGTAGTCAATGGACTCTTGACAGAATAGACATTTGGACAGTTTCACAAAAAAAAATGAGTTTTTAAGGAAGTGAAAACCAATGCTAAATGTTGCAAGTGATCTTCAATAGAGGCACTATATATCAGTATGTCATAAAAAAAAACAATCACAAACCTTCGTAAGTATTGAGAAAATAATTGGTTCATTGCGGCTTGGAATGTTGACGGTGCATTAGTAAGTCCAAACGACATTACAAGAAATTCAAAATGACCCTCATGTGTGCAGAACGCCGTTTTATAAGTGTCACTCGGATGAACCCGAATTTGATGGTACCCTGCACGCAAGTCCAGTTTTGTAAATATTCTTGCGCCACCCAACTCATCCAAAAGTTCATCAATGGTTGGAATTGGAAATTTATCCTTAATTGTAACAGAATTTAACGATCTATAATCCACACAAAATCGCCATGTACCATCTTTTTTCTTTACCAATAAGACGGGTGAAGAAAATGGACTGTGGCTAGGGACGATGATGCCTTGATCAAGCATTTCTCGGATCAACTTCTCCATTTCAGATTTTTGAAATTGAGGATATCGATAGGGCCTCACATTGAATGGCTTGGATCCTTCAACAAGATGGATGTGATGGTCAACCGTTCTGTGAGGAGGCAATTCTGTGGGTGTAGAAAAAATGGACTTAAAACGTTGTAATAGATCAGTAACTGGGCTGGGTAGGTTGGATGGAAAATTGCTGGATGGTTCTGGGAGAGAATCAACGTCTTGAAGGGACGTCGTGATGGTAAAAACACTGGCCACATTATTGGTGTGAACCAATGCTTGAAGCTGATGTAGTGACACTGATTGTGAGGCTAGAGAGGCATCACCTACTAAAGTAACTTGGGTCCCTTGCCACATGAACTCCATAGTGAGAGCCGAATAATCATGAACAACTTTGCCCAAAGATTGCAACCAAGGAAAGCCCAACACAACATCGGGACCTTCAATGTATAGGATAAACAAATCCACCTCAAATTTAATGTCCTGTAAGATAAGAGGGACATTATGGCAGCAAAATTGACAAACCAAGAAGGTTCCACAACCAGTTGCGACCTTGAAACGAGAGCATGGTTTGATAGGTAACCCCAATCGTTCCACTAATGCAAGCTTGATAAAGTTGTGAGTGCTCCCGCTGTCAATGAGGATGGTGAAATTTGTTTGGTTATAAAGGCCAGAAACACGAAAGGATAGACTTTGGAGCTGGCTGGACAAGGAGTGAAGGCTGGATATGTCACCCAAGACATCATCTATTGAGTTATCCTCAGATTCCGGTGGGGGTTCCTCTTCATCCGCTCCCATGAGGATAAACACGCGATTTTGGCATCGGTGAGATGGGTTCCATTTCTCATCACATTTAAAACAGAGACCTTTTGAACGGCAGTCTCGGAGTTCGGCAGAGGGCATGTTCCGCACGACAGGGTTTGAGTGTGGTGTGGGTAAGAGTGGTGGTAACGATGTTGCAGTATTGTTTGATGGGTTATTTGGATTTGAATTGGATTGGTTTGTTTGATTGTGGTTAGGTTGGGTATGTGAGCCTGTGGAGTGTTGTGGGCCGTGAGACCACCATTTGCCTATGGTTGGTGTGTCATCAAAATGGGCCTCATATGCTCTGGCCATGGCGAAGGTTTCCATTAACGTAACAGGTCGGTGAAATTGCAATTCCCGTCTCAAATGCTTTTTCGAGTCCGTAATGAAAAAGCTGATCGGTAGTGATTTGGAGATACTCGTTGACCTTGTTCATCAATTCTTCAAACTGGGCTTGAAAATCGATTCTGAGCCGGTTTGAGTTAATTTGGAGAGTTCACCTTCAATGTCTTTGTACTGAGTTGGATCGAAGCGGTGGCGAATAACGGTGAGAAAAATTGGCCACGATGGTAACAAATTGTTACGTGTTGCCCATTGGAACCAGCCAGCAGCGCGTCCGTCAAGATGAAAGGCTACGATCTGAAGTCGGGACTCTTCCGGAGTTTCATGGAAGTTGAAGAAAGCTTCAATCTGGAAAATCCAATCCAAGAGATTGGAACCATCAAAACGTGGTATGTTTAATTTCAGCGCACGTGACGTCTGCCTGGCAAATGCATTCTGTGGTTGTTTTTTGCCTTCGACGTGTAGGTTTGCGACCTTCTAATCAACTTCTACCAGGTGTTGGTGGAGTGTGGAATGAACTGACTCGGTATGGAACTCGAGTAATTCGCGAAACTTTACCATCTGTGCATCGATATTGGATTGAAGGGCGCTCATAAGCTCAGTTGTGTTCATGATGAAAGCACCAATGATACACTCTGCTGCAGAATGCTCAAAGGTTTTAACACTCTTCGAGTGAGTGTCCACTCCTCAGAAAATTAAGGGAAAGAGAATAATAGAATTTGGGGGAAAAAGGATATTGAAAACTTTTATTCTGTTCTGTTTTGATTACATCATAGCTATTAAAAGGAATTGAGTGCTAACAATCAAGCAAAAATTAGGGAAATGAAATAGGAATTAAACTAATAATTTGCAGCAGAAATTTCAGGAATTAATTTGAGCATATCAGGATATTCTAATTTTGTCCGCAGACATAATTTGAGCATATCAGGATCTTCTAATTTTGTCCGCAGACATAGTCAGTCATCCACGCTGGCTTCTTTCTTGCTCGTTTCCTTACTATTGGGTCATCCTTCCTTATTGGGTCTGAGTCCACTGGTTGGTTTGTATCATGTACACAGGCTTCAGTGTGCGATTTAGGTAATCACATAAGAAAATACCTTTCTTTGAGTAGAAGTAGATTATGTATTCCCAAACAGGATGAAAAGCCAGCAAGTTCATATTTTTCATATTAAATTCTCCATAAGAATACCAACAACTTGACCATTCGCTTTTCTCCAAATTCACCAGTTCATGAATTGTACATACTGAATTTCTCCTTGAAAATTCACATATCTTCAATCCTCCATTACCAATCTTATTGTATATATCACTACTTTCATCAGGATATATGTGCAAGGGACGAATCCAGTTTTTAGTTCCCACTTCAAATCCCTCCCATCAGAGGGGTCACACACAAGAAAACCTACCTCCTTTATCCACCAAACAAACTTTTCATTATGGACAAGAATGTCCTTATAACATAAGTTTGTCATCAAAATATCGTAATTTGCTGGGGCACTGATAATACAAGCACTCCATTTACCTGTTTCGGACGAAAACATGTTTATTTGGAAGCTATTAACCTCTTCAAAACACACGATGGGAACGTGTACGACCCAAAACCTTGAACGAGATTGGTCATACATGAATCCCACTCGTGAAAATTCACATGCATCTCTCTTATGTAGTGGAGGCAAGACAACGTGTTGTTTTGTAAAAGGATTGCATACGGTATAGTTAATTTGAGACTGATAAAGGTCATAATGCGAGGCTTTCACTCCAACTTTATCGCGGTCACCAGCCCAAGAACGAGGAAGAAAATTAGACCCTTTTAATATATGAGTTTTATCATTGGAATCTATGACACAAAACATTTTCTTATCATAACTGGAACTTGACTGAAAGTGAAAGAGAAGAAATAGTGTGTGTTGAAATGCGTAAGGTGATAATGGAAGACGGGTTAAACATGAGTGAAGGAAGAATGAATAAGAAATCAAACACATGAGATGATACACTCTGCTGCAGAATGCTCAAAGGTTTTAACACTCTTCGAGTGAGTGTCCACTCCTCAGAAAATTAAGGGAAAGAGAATAATAAAATTTGGGGGAAAAAGGATATTGAAAACTTTTATTCTGTTCTGTTTTGATTACATCATAGCTATTAAAAGGAATTGGGTGCTAACAATCAAGAAAAAATTAGGAAAATAAAACAGGAATTAAACTAATAATTTGCGGCAGAAATTTCGGGAATTAATTTGAGCATATCGAGGATCTTCTAATTTTCTCCGTGAGACATAATTTGAGCATATCGGGATCTTCTAATTTTGTCCGCGAGACATAGTCGATCATCCACGCTGGCTTCTTCTTTGCTCGTTTCCTTACTATTCGGTCATCCTTCCTTATTGGGTGCGGGTCCACTTGTTGGTTTGTATCATGTACACAGGCTTCAGTGTGCGATTTAGGTAATCACATAAGAAAATACCTTTCTTTGAGTAGAAGTAGATTATGTATTCCCAAACAAGATGAAAAGCCAGCAAGTTCATATTTTTCATATTAAATTCTCCATAAGAATACCAACGCCTTGACCATTCGCTTTTCTCCAAATTCACCAGTTCATGAATTGTACATAATGAATTTCTCCATGAAAATTCACATATCTTCAATCCTCCATTACCAATCCCATGATATATATCCTTGTTTTTAGTTCCCACTTCAAATCCCTCCCATCAGAGGGGTCACACACAAGAAAACCTACCTCCTTTATCCACCAAACAAACTTTTCATTATGGATAAGAATGTCCTTATAACATAAGTTTGTCATCAAAATATCGTAATTTGCTGGGGCACTGATAATACAAGCACTCCATTTACCTGTTTCGGACGAAAACATGTTTATTTGGAAGCTATTAACCTCTTCAAAACACACGATGGGAACGTGTACGACCCAAAACCTTGAACGAGATTGGTCATACATGAATCCCACTCGTGAAAATTCACATGCATCTCTCTTACGTAGTGGAGGCAAGACAACGTGTTGTTTTGTAAAAGGATTGCATACGGTATAGTTAATTTGAGACTGATAAAGGTCATAATGCGAGGCTTTCACTCCAACTTTATCGCGGTCACCAGCCCAAGAACGAGGAAGAAAATTAGACCCTTTTAATATATGAGTTTTATCATTGGAATCTATGACACAAAACATTTTCTTATCATAACTGGAACTTGACTGAAAGTGAAAGAGAAGAAATAATGTGTGTTGAAATGCGTAAGGTGATAATGGAAGACGGGTTAAACATGAGTGAAGGAAGAATGAATCAGAAATCAAACACATGAGATGATACACTCTGCTGCAGAATGCTCAAAGGTTTTAACACTCTTCGAGTGAGTGTCCACTCCTCAGAAAATTAAGGGAAAGAGAATAATAGAATTTGGGGGAAAAAGGATATTGAAAACTTTTATTCTGTTCTGTTTTGATTACATCATAGCTATTAAAAGGAATTGGGTGCTAACAATCAAGAAAAAATTAGGGAAATAAAACAGGAATTAAACTAATAATTTGCAGCAGAAATTTCGGGAATTAATTTGAGCATATCGGGATCTTCTAATTTTGTCACGAGACATAGTCGAGTCATCCACGCTGGCTTCTTTCTTGCTCGTTTCCTTACTATTCGGTCATCCTTCCTTATTGGGTCCGGGTCCACTTGTTGGTTTGTATCATGTACACGAGGCTTCGGTGTGCGATTTAGGTAATCACATAAGAAAATACCTTTCTTTGAGTAGAAGTAGATTATGTATTCCCAAACAAGATGAAAAGCCGGCAAGTTCATATTTTTCATATTAAATTCTCCATAAGAATACCAACGCCTTGACCATTCGCTTTTCTCCAAATTCACCAGTTCATGAATTGTACATAATGAATTTCTCCTTGAAAATTCACATATCTTCAATCCTCCATTACCAATCCCATGATATATATCCTTGTTTTTAGTTCCCACTTCAAATCCCTCCCATCAGAGGGGTCACACACAAGAAAACCTACCTCCTTTATCCACCAAACAAACTTTTCATTATGGACAAGAATGTCCTTATAACATAAGTTTGTCATCAAAATATCGTAATTTGCTGGGGCACTGATAATACAAGCACTCCATTTACCTGTTTCGGACGAAAACATGTTTATTTGGAAGCTATTAACCTCTTCAAAACACACGATGGGAACGTGTACGACCCAAAACCTTGAACGAGATTGGTCATACATGAATCCCACTCGTGAAAATTCACATGCATCTCTCTTACGTAGTGGAGGCAAGACAACGTGTTGTTTTGTAAAAGGATTGCATACGGTATAGTTAATTTGAGACTGATAAAGGTCATAATGCGAGGCTTTCACTCCAACTTTATCGCGGTCACCAGCCCAAGAACGAGGAAGAAAATTAGACCCTTTTAATATATGAGTTTTATCATTAGAATCTATGACACAAAACATTTTCTTATCATAACTGGAACTTGACTGAAAGTGAAAGAGAAGAAATAGTGTGTGTTGAAATGCGTAAGGTGATAATGGAAGACGGGTTAAACATGAGTGAAGGAAGAATGAATCAGAAATCAAACACATGAGATGATACACTCTGCTGCAGAATGCTCAAAGGTTTTAACACTCTTCGAGTGAGTGTCCACTCCTCAGAAAATTAAGGGAAAGAGAATAATAGAATTTGGGGGAAAAAGGATATTGAAAACTTTTATTCTGTTATGTTTTGATTACATCATAGCTATTAAAAGGAATTGGGTGCTAACAATCAAGAAAAAATTAGGGAAATAAAACAGGAATTAAACTAATAATTTGCAGCAGAAATTTCAGGAATTAATTTGAGCATATCAGGATCTTCTAATTTTGTCCGCAGACATAATTTAAGCATATCAGGATCTTCTAATTTTGTCCGCAGACATAGTCAGTCATCCACGCTGGCTTCTTTCTTGCTCGTTTCCTTACTATTCGGTCATCCTTCCTTATTGGGTCTGGGTCCACTTGTTGGTTTGTATCATGTACACAGGCTTCAGTGTGCGATTTAGGTAATCACATAAGAAAATACCTTTCTTTGAGTAGAAGTAGATTATGTATTCCCAAACAAGATGAAAAGCCAGCAAGTTCATATTTTTCATATTAAATTCTCCATAAGAATACCAACGCCTTGACCATTCGCTTTTCTCCAAATTCACCAGTTCATGAATTGTACATAATGAATTTCTCCTTGAAAATTCACATATCTTCAATCCTCCATTACCAATCCCATGAAATATATCCTTGTTTTTAGTTCCCACTTCAAATCCCTCCCATCAGAGGGGTCACACACAAGAAAACCTACCTCCTTTATCCACCAAACAAACTTTTCATTATGGACAAGAATGTCCTTATAACATAAGTTTGTCATCAAAATATCGTAATTTGCTGGGGCACTGATAATACAAGCACTCCATTTACCTGTTTCGGACGAAAACATGTTTATTTGGAAGCTATTAACCTCTTCAAAACACACGATGGGAACGTGTACGACCCAAAACCTTGAACGAGATTGGTCATACATGAATCCCACTCGTGAAAATTCACATGTATCTCTCTTATGTAGTGGAGGCAAGACAACGTGTTGTTTTGTAAAAGGATTGCATACGATATAGTTAATTTGAGACTGATAAAGGTCATAATGCGAGGCTTTCACTCCAACTTTATCGCGGTCACCAGCCCAAGAACGAGGAAGAAAATTAGACCCTTTTAATATATGAGTTTTATCATTGGAATCTATGGCACAAAACATTTTCTTATCATAACTGGAACTTGATTGAAAGTGAAAGAGAAGAAATAGTGTGTGTTGAAATGCGTAAGGTGATAATGGAAGACGGGTTAAACATGAGTGAAGGAAGAATGAATCAGAAATCAAACACATGAGATGATACACTCTGCTGCAAAATGCTCAAAGGTTTTAACACTCTTCGAGTGAGTGTCCACTCCTCAGAAAATTAAGGGAAAGAGAATAATAGAATTTGGGGGACAAAGGATATTGAAAACTTTTATTCTGTTCTGTTTTGATTACATCATTGCTATTAAAAGGAATTTGGTGCTAATAATCAAGCAAAAATTAGGGAAATAAAACAGGAATTAAACTAATAATTTGCAACAGAAATTTCAGGAATTAATTTGAGCATATCAGGATCTTCTAATTTTGTCCGCAGACATAATTTGAGCATATCAGGATCTTCTAATTTTGTCCGCAGACATAGTCAGTCATCCACGCTGGCTTCTTTCTTGCTCGTTTCCTTACTATTCGGTCATCCTTCCTTATTGGGTCTGGGTCCACTGGTTGGTTTGTATCATGAGACGTTTGCTGGAAAATGTGTGCGGAAGAAGATCACGGAATGATATTCAGTGAAGAATTTCAAACAGTAAGTCGTGGTGGATTTGATTTTTTTATTCACGAGGCGATAATAGAAGACGAGCTCGACATGATTTTTAAATTGAAAGAGGATAAATAGGTTTTGATTTTTAAAATCACGAGGCGATAATAGAAGACGAGCTCGACATGATTTTAGGAACTCTGATTGAGAAATCAGATGCATGAAACGTTTGTTAGAAAAAAGGAGCGGAAGACAAGAAGTGAAGGGCATACGGTGAAGAATTTCTGCGAGAATGTCTTCACTGATTTCTTCTATGGATGTGGGTTTTGAAAGAAGCATTTTTGTTGGTGAAAGTGCCATGGTTCAAAGTAAGCTTGATTCATTCTTTGTTTTACGCTCCTTATATAATATGCTAAATGACAGAGTTGTTTTTTTTTTTCTTTAATCATATTTAAAAAAAAAATTAATTTCCAAGGATATATATTAATTTTTATTTTATAAAAAAAATTCATACGATTTGTTTCAATTCTTAAATTATGAGATTATTTTAAGTATTTTGTCATAAAATTGGTTGAGAAGATAAATAAAATAAAATTCACGCTTAGAATATTAGTATTACTTTGTTGCAATATTTTGTCATTAAAAAGTATTATGTGATTTTAAAGGAAAAAAATTATTATTTTTTATTTAAAAGAATGCTAAACTATTGAGTAGTTGAGTTTTATAAACGTAATGTTTTTTAAAATATTCACAAGTTTATTTCGACTTTTATAATAAAATATTATTTTAAATTTTTTACCGTAAAATTAGTTATTTCTTTAAAAAAATATTTTATAATAGTATAAAACATAAAATATATATTAATTATATCATTAATGACACATATTATTTTATATATTTTGTAATAACGATATATGTTATTTTAAATTAATGACTCAAATTTAAATATTTACGTTATTGACAGTTAAAAATAAATTACATCTTTAACTATGAAATCATTCAAACTTTAATTTAAAAGATTAAATTAAAATATCATCAAACATTCGTCTGTTAAAATATCATCAAATATTCGTGTAATGTGTTTGTTACGTAAAATTTTTAAAATGTGAGTAACCGGTCAATTATCTATCAAAATGTGTAAGAGTCGGTTTAAATTTAAAAATTGAAAAAGAAAAATCAGTAATTTTATGAAACTAATTATATTTTTTATCAATTTGGTGAAATACTTGAGTAAAATATTGCTTAGAAGGGAGTTTTTATCAACAAATATTCATAAATAAAAATAATTATTTTATTATAAATTCTATGAATAACTTAAAAAATTGGTTAAAATTGTGCATCTCTAATATATTGTAATATTAAAAAATGTTAAATATAGATATATCATATCATATTATTTTGAAGAAATTTACTATTAATTTTATTTCATTAAATTTTTTTTAATAAAATAAAAAAAATCATTTTATGTTATATTCTCTTTCCTCATTTACTTTTTATTTGTTTTATTTTGTATGTTGTTTGATCAAATAATTACCAAAGAAATTTAAATAAATTATCATGCCAGAATTCTTGAAATTGGAAGTTATTTTAAACAACTAATATTTTATTAAGCATTTTAATAGTTATCTCTCAATTTTAACCCATTTTCTCAAAATTTAAGTCATTAAAATATGAAATTTATAATAAAATATTTATTAACATATCCAATTAAATAACTTAAAAGATAAATAAAATAAAATAAATAAAAAAAGATAATAAATTCTTTAAAATTTATTAAGACAATTTTTATTTTAATAAAATTAATTTTAAGTTACTTAATAAAAATGTGGTACAATATATATATATATATATGATGAAAAAAAAATAACTTTTAAGTGTCACTATTAATAAATCAAGAGTCGATTTAAATTTAAAAAAATAGGAAAAAAATCATCCGTTTTCTGAAACTAATTATACTTTTTATTAACCTTACTGTCTGACACTTTCATAGAAAAAAATCATTGTATAAAAGTAAAAAAGAAAGAAAGTATATTGATAGTGAAAAATTATATAAAAAATTAATATAAGGTTGGAGATTTTGTGCGTTACGAGACCCGGCAATAATAATTATTTGGTGAAATACTTTATTAAACTATTAGTTATTTCAATTAACTTTTTTATTGGAAGAATTTTATATAATAGGATAAGTTACTCACAATTTTTGATAGTTGTTTTATTAAATAACTTATTAAAATAAATGAGGAAGAAGAAAATAGGGAAGAAAGAAATTTTTGATAAGTTACTCACAATTTTTGATAGTTTTTTATTATATTCTTTTATATATTTTTTTTATATTTTTGAATAGGAAATTTAAAATTTATATTTTTTTTATTATATGAATTATTTAAGTTATAATTTTAGAAAAAAATTGATAAATTTAATATATAAAATATTAAAAGTAAAATTAAAAATAAGTTATTAGTAGCAAAATAAAAATTATAGAACATGATATTAAAGAAAAATAATAAAGGTAGAAAGATTTTTATAGAGTGAAATAATAGAGGTTTATGAAGAAGAAAACCTTTTACAAATTTCTCCCGAAATTAAGAACAACCACATCGACGAAATCCAAAACGTAATAGACGTGATTCTCGTTGTGGAACTCGAACACCAATTTTGAGATTAATTTTTTTTAACATTATTGTCAATAATTTTATTTTTCAATTTTTATTATCAATGATTATGTTATTTTTAATATCATACATTAAATTCTGTCAATTTTTATTATTTTTTATTTTTAAGTTTATTTTATATTAATAATAATAATTTTTAACTAATTAAATAATATTTTTACTTTATTATTTAAAAAAATTAATTTTAGCATGAAATTTTTAATATAATATTTATAATTTATCAAATAAAAACTATTACATAAATTTTTATAATATAATATTTAATTTTTTAATATATTACCTAAATTAAATTTTTATTTATTCTATTTTTTTTCTAAAATTATAACTTAAATAATTCATATAATAAAAAAATATATAAATTTTAAATTTCCTATTCAAAAATAAAAATAAAAATAAAAAAATATAATAAAAAAATATTATTTAATATTTTTAATAATTATTTAAATATATGTAAATAATTTAATATATATTTCAATAATATATTATTTTTATTATTTTTATATAAATATTATTTAAATTTTAAAATTAAAATTTTATTTTTAATATTAATTTTATTATTTTTAATTATATATTTTATTTAAAAAAAGTGATAAGTTTAAAGTTAGAATTCGGTTTACGGGAAACCTAATTTTAAGTACAACAGTAAAAAAGATTCAATTAAGTAAATAATTTTACAAGAGGTTCGGTTAAATAAATAATTTCATTAAAAATTCTGTTAAACATATATATAATATATAATAATATTATTTTAATAAAAAAGTCGAAGAAAGAGAATAGATTTTTTAAAAAATTTTAAATTGAGTAAAATTACAGATTTGTTATAATACAAACAAATTCATATTTTTAATTTTTTAAAATAATTATACGCGTTACTCTTTCAAAGATCCCCTAACACTTTTTTTTTTACAAGTTTTAACCAATAAATATACATGTTTTTCACATAATTATTTTTAAAACAGCTAGTAATAACTTTTAAGTCTCACTGTTAATAATTTTATTTTCTTCAAATAACCAATTGGTTAACCCTGCAAGCATTACTCGACTAGTTAGTTTAACATGTTTAATTGAAAATCAGTTTAAAAATGGATTGTTTGTAAATAATTACACTTTAATTAAATTAGAATAAAATCGATAAAATTATAAAAATTAATTGCATTTGTTTTGGTTGAATTGATTTTTAATAAAAAATTGAGATAAATTCTTTTTAATATAAATTTAAAATATATATAATATATATTAGTTTTTTTATCTAATATTAATTATTTTAACTTTAAATAACACGTAGTTTTTATTATTATTTTTAAATATTAATATTAATAAACTTATTATATATTTATTATATTATAAAATATTATTTTAATAAAATTAGTTGATCCTCTAAAACAATTAAATATTTAAATCTTAAATTTATGTCTTTATTAATTTGGTGAACGATTTATTTTAATAATATTAATTAAAAGAATATAATTCACAATCAATATACAACTTAAAATGAAATTTATTAAATTAAATATTAAAGAATATTTTAAATACATCATAATGACTTAAACTTTGATTGAATACATAATAAAAGGTGAAACAGATAAACTTTGTCAGACATTGACTACTGCGTTGAAGGTGGAGGGAGTGGACTTGGCCAACTAGGAAGAACAAGAGACATAGCATTACCCCAAACCCTAATATCTTCATTCCCTGCAGTGTACTGATACACTCTACTGCAGAATGCTCAAAGGTTTTAACACTCTTCGAGTGAGTGTCCACTCCTCAGAAAATTAAGGGAAAGAGAATAATAGAATTTGGGGGAAAAAGGATCTTGAAAACTTTTATTCTGTTCTGTTTTGATTACATCATAACTATTAAAAGGAATTTGTGCTAACAATCAAGCAAAAATTAGGAAAATAAAACAGGAATTAAACTAATAATTTGCAGCAGAAATTTTAGGAATTAATTTGAGCATATGAGGATCTTCTAATTTTGTCCGCAGACATAGTCATTCATCCACACTGGCTTCTTTCTTGCTCGTTTCCTTACTATTGGGTCATCCTTCCTTATTGGGTTTGGGTCCACTGGTTGGTTTGTATCATTTTCCCCTACTGCAGAACTCACCTTGTCCTCAAGGTGAAAATCAGGATAACAAGTGCGGAAATTTTCCAAGTCTTTCCAGGAAGCTTCATCAACTGGACAACCCTCCCAATGCACCAAGAGTTGTTCCTGTGGTTGCCCCTGAGTTCGCCAATCTAAAATTGCCCTTGGTTGATCAATAGGTTGGTTATCAAAGCTTTCCAAGGGTAAGTCACATGCAGACATCTTATCAGTACCACGAAAAGGTTTAAGAGTCGACACATGAAAAACCGGGTGAATGCGACTACCAGGAGGAAGTTGGAGTTTGTATGCCACTGTCTCAATATGCTCGATGATGCTATAAGGACCATAGAACCTCTTCGAGAGCTTGTGGTGTTTCAATTGACGGACTGATGTTTGGCGATACAGTCTGAGGTGTACGAGAACCAAATCACCAACAGCAAGAGTAATGTCTCGACGATGTGCATTGGCCTTCTGACGCATTCTATGTTGAGCAGCAGTTAAATTTGTCTTCAAAGTGCGGAGTAATTCGTCACGAGAAGTTAGGGCCTCATCCAATACTTGTATAGAAGTGGATCCCCTAGT